AAGTAGATTAGTAAGATAAAAATTAAGCAGCTTAAAATAGTATAGAACTAGTACCTTTATACTATTTTAGGGGTATATAAAACAATAAATATTAGGGTAATAAAGCACGAGATATTATACCCTCTACTTCGGCTAAAGCTAGAGGAACTTATAGTAGCCTACGCAGACCGTATATATAAAGGGCTAGCCTATAAGTATATTAAAACCTAATATAGCCGTATAAAAAAAACGGTCCGTGCTAAATACAGGCCGAAAGGAATACTATAGTACGGCCTAAGCAGGCGTAATAAACTCTGCAAGCTTATAGTAAAGGTATTACGGCTAGCCGCATAATATAAAGGCGAATCGGAAAAATCCTATAGGCGTATAAGGCGTGGTATAATCCAGGATAAATATAAAAAGAAGTAGAAAAAGGAATAGAAAGCCTACTATAAAAAACTACGCTAAAAACCTTTAATACTAGCACTTAATACTAAATAGAGCAAATAATAAGAAGTACTATATAAAGAACTTATAAAGGTAGAAAGCATAATTATTATAAACCTACGGACGGAGTATATAGGGCTTAACGGTTACCTCTACTATATAAGAGTGCCCGGCCACCCGACGCCGGTATACCCTTGCGGGTATAGCCTCTAATTCCTAAAATATATTATAATAAGTTGCGGAAAACACGTTAAAAGCAGGGGCGAGCTGTTCTAGAAGGCTAAGATAAGGACGTATAAACAGCTCTATAGAAGCTAGAAAAAAAAAAAGGCTATAGCCTAATAGCTCCTCTAAAGAATAGACCTCCTACTATACCTTTTAGTAGCTAGAAAAATAGCAAAGGCGGAGATATAGGCACTTTACCTTTTACAACTTTATATAACTATATATACTACGTATACTATATATACTATATATACTATATATACTATATATACTACGTATACTACGCCGCCTATATTATATATCTACCTAATAGCTATATCTACCTATATACTACAGCCTTTATATATATTATAGCCTATATAGTACTACCCCTATATATATTATTTAATTTAAGAACTAACGCCTTAATAAAAGGCACGCGTGCGAAATAATAGCACGCGTGCCCTTACGCTAATTCTAAACCAGCTTACTACTCCGGAATTAACTTAACCTGCGCCTAGAAGGACGACTGCAAAACCCGGATAGATTTAGGAAAACGCATTATAATAGCTTATTCCGTAGTAGACTTAATAAATCTACTACGTGTTCCTAATAGCTATATAATAATAAAAAAAGCGCTTAGCGCTATATACTATAGAGAACGGGGTTTTTATCCGAACGCTATATAGCAGCAAACGGTTTCTTTTTATAAACTAGCCTAGATAGAACAGCTGTATAAACCCTAATAGGAGCTATACTAGCGTAATAGAATTTAATAATAATAATATAGTTTATATAGCTAGCTATAATAATACTTCCGGCAGTATAGCTAATTAGTTAGGTCGCGTAAATTAGGCGGGCTGCGTTCTACTTCCGATTCTAAATACCTTATTAATAGCAGGCTAGTTCTTATCCGCTGTAAGCACTTTCTTCGGCTGCCTAGGTCCGGGTTTTTTTAAGAGTGCAGGTATAGTAAAAGCTATAGATGCTATAGAGTTTATAGAGAAGGGCTTTTCTATTTATATTTTAAACTCCCCTATATATTACACCCTTTTCTTTAGAGCTATTTTCCTTACGTGCTATTATTTATTATATAACTGCGCTTAGAATATATATAGTTTATTACGCTCTGCAGTATATTAGTATAGTATTATCTATTTCTTATTAAGGGCCCTTTACTAGGCCCTTTTTTAAATAGTATATTTAGCACTATATAATAAGTGGTTTTTATTACAGTTTGCGTATTTTTTAATAGTTTTATCCGGGCATACTTTTATATTATGCTCGCCTGTATATACTACGCATTTAATATTCTTTTTATAGTACCTTATAATATACCCGTAGCTCTAGCAGTTAAAGCACTGCATAGCTATAAATCCTGCCTTATACCTTAAGGCGTTAAGTATATAGCCTTCCTAAGCAATACTATTATTAATAGCGTTATTTGCTATTACTTCTATTTATACGCCTATAATAGCCGAGCTTGCACGCTATACTAGGTTTACCTGCGCTGTAGTAATAGCTGCCTTATTCTTCTATATAATTTTATTAATTATAAGTCCTAGGTTATAGGTTATATTGTTTTCTATTATATTTTTCTATAGACTTAGGTTGTTAAGGTCTATCTTCTTAGGTATACTATATACTTTAATAAGCACTATAGGCGTGCGTATAGTAGCGGAGGAGCCTAGAATAAAAACCTAATTCTTCTTCTTTAGAAGGGCGTTTTTTAATAGCTTATCCGCGATAATTGCCTTAATATTACTACTTTATAGCTTTCTAATACTACTAATCTTTATAGTTTCCGGCTCTCCCGCCGCTTATAGCTTTTTTATAATATAGTTGTTTATATATATTACGTTAGCCGCTTGCTAGGCGTTGTTTTCGATGTAGATATTAATTTTGTAGAGGTTGTTTATTACATCCTATCCGATTCTCGCGTCCTGTCTAATTTATATAGCTTGCCCGATTTGTATTACTATTAGGGCCTTCGCTGCTGCAGCTGCGTATATCTTTTTTCCTTAAGCTTTTAGCTTACTAATACTCTTCCTTATATTTTTTATCTCCTTTATTAGTTCCTTCTATAGCGCGTTTTTCCGTTCGTTTATAGTTTTTTATATATAGTAGAGTTCTTTCTTAGTATTTATAAGTCCGAAAAACGCGTTGTTAATACACGCGACTATAGCCTAGAGGAAATCCATGCTAATAGTATTAAGGGGCTAACTCTGTAGGGCGCTTTATATTTATTATACTTTATTAAGTGCGCTTATAACGCTTTTATACGTGTTAAAAAGGGGCTTTTAGTTGTATTATTATTATAGGTGTTGTTATTATTATTATTGCGAGTGCAATCTAAGGTTAGAGGTCGTAGGAAAGATTTAACCTACTATAATACTACTACTACTGCCCGGAAGGCTTTATAATTGCGTATAATTGCTTTAAGTGCCTTAAAAAGCCTATTAGAACTCCCTTTAGCTTCGATTTCTAATAGCTTATTAGGACGACTATATTATATTTTATAATAAAAATGTATATATAGCTATATAAAGACTATAAGGGAAATAAGGCCGTTTTATAATAGTTTCTATACTAGATAAACCTCCTACTCTACCTTTCTATAGCTAGAAAAATAGCAACGGAAAAGCTAGCTATATAGCTAGCCGATTTATATAGCTACGCCCTAAGAATAGAACTATATACACGTACGTATATTATATAGCTATAGGCACGCCCGTAATAGAGTAACCCTTTAATTTCCTATTATCCTTTAATTTAATACCTTAGCTTTTAAGAAAAGGGCACACGCGTATAGTAAAAGTACGCGCGCCCTAACGCGGACCCCGGACCTTACTAACTATCTAGACACCGTATAACTCTAGAACCTAGGGCCTACGGACACCGAATCGATTCTAGAAAATATATTAAAATAGCTTACTTTATAGTAATACTTATAGAGCTGCCACGCGTTTTCTATAGCTGCGCAGAAATAAAAGAAACGTAAGGCGTTATATACTATAGAAAATAAGGTTTTTACCCGACTACTATAAAGCGAACGGTTTCCCCTTATAAATAAAACCTAGATAGTACTGCCGTATAAACCCTAACGGGAGCTAAATCGGCCTAATAGAACCTAATAATAATAATAATAATAATAATAATAATAATATAGAAAGCATATATTATACTATAGTTATATAGTAAAGTAATTAAAAGTAAATAAGCTTTTTTTTAAAGGGCCTTACGACTATAATATAGCTAAATATAGCCCTTTTTTATAGCGGGTAATAAGGCCTAGTAAGGCCTTAGTTAGTCTAAAAAAGGGATATATTATATAGGCGACTACTTTAGGTAATTTAGTTTATAAATAATTTTTCCTTTTTATACGTGCTTCTCTAAGCGTGTTATAGCGCTATTTTTACGTGCTTCCGCGCCTTTTTAGTTATAAGCCTTATATTTTATACGCGTTAGTTGCTTTTACTTATTATATATTCTAATTAGTAGGACTAAGTTAATTAAATTAGATTAAAAGCTAACTTATTTAAATTAACGTCTATTCCTGCGTGCTAAAAAACCTACTGTGCCGAGAAATATAAGGGGTACTTTAACTTTAAGTAACTTATACTTTATATATATATTAGTATCTATAATAGTTTTATATAAGTTATATACTATAGCTATTCCTAAATATTTAGAACCTTTTTTACCTAAATATTACGTTTATATTTTTACCTTAGCGCCTAATTTATAGAAAGGCTTTTTTTATAGTATAATAGACTTCTCTTTCTATAGAACTACTATAAAGCTTTTACTACTTTAAATACTAATAATAGGGTTTTATCCGAGTATTAGAACCTTACTATAATGCTAGGAAGTTATTATTAGCCTAGTATCTGCTATAGCGCGTAAATTTATATAAGGTTGCTATATAGGTTAGTACCTTTTATAAAAGCGATTACTAATCCAGGCTAGTAGAGAACAACTCCGTTTTATATAATTAATTATTAGGGTGTAATTTACTTACAGTGGCTGTTAGACCTGTGGCTGTGCGTAGTCTTAGCAAAGCGGGCCGACCTTAGCCCTGCAGCTTTGCGATTCAACTTAACCTTGGCCATGCCTCCGGTCAACCAACTCAACTCTCTGAAAACACCTACAAAACTCGCCACCTCACAAGGGTATGGCCGGAGCGGATCAGATACCTCCTACTAGTGTAGTTAAGCTGTAGAGAGCTTGAAGCTAATTTTTCCCGTTGAGAGTATAGGGAGAAGAGAACCGAGTCTCGGTAAAACGTAATTCCGTAGTTTGCGCAGAACCCACTCTAGTGTAATGCTGCGCCGCACCTGCCTTCTCAGCCTTGTTGAACTAAAGATGGACCTAAACACTCCCTACAAACCAAGGACTGTCTCGCAGCTCTGCGGGTGCACAAGTGGACCACTACAGATCTACCACCAAACTCGCTCCTTTTACTACGCATCGCATCATGGATGGCCTTTCAGGGGCGGCAAGCGTCATCGCTGTAATCGACATATCCGCCAAAATCACTTCGCTCTGCTTCCAGTACTCAGTCGCCGTCAAAGACGCGAAGAAGGACATCGAATGCCTCCAAAGGAAAGTCACCGATGTTAAGGGAGTTCTTGAAAAGATTAAGCAGCTATTAGATGGACGAGATAAAGCGCGGCTCTCTACCACTTACGAGCTGTCTAACTCGCTCCAGGAATGTTTGCGGCAGCTAGAAGAATTGAAGAGAGAACTAGACCCGGGAAAGACTCGCCAGGCCATGAGCCGATTCGGACTGCGAGCTTTAAAGTGGCCTTTTACGAGCAAGCAGGTAGAAAAGATCGTTTCCGGTCTAGAAAGATACGAGAAAACCTTTACTCTAGCGCTCCAAGTTGATCAGACGTAAGTTCCCCATCCACTATGCCCTGTTGTAGACGAAGGTTGCTGATCAGCTATGTAGGGGCCTGATGCTTGACTTTGATCAGAAGATGAACCTAGCAAACCAGAACACCAACATCATCCATCAGAAGCTCGACTTGGCCAGACTACCGATCGCTGAAGGAGCATCTTTCGACTCGCACATGGAGGAACACAATGGAAGGTGCCTTGCAAACACCAGAGTGGAGCTATGCCGTCAGATTACAAAATGGGCCGAGGATGGGAATGGGGAACCTATATTCTGGCTCAAAGGCATGGCTGGCACAGGAAAGTCCACGATTGCACGGAGTGTTGCTCAGTCATTTGCCGACCAACGCCAGCTAGGGGCCAGCTTTTTTTTCAAGAAAGGCGAGGGAGAGTGCGGCAATGCCACAAGATTCTTCACCACCATCGCTACAGACCTGGCGGCCCGTGTACCTGGATTGATATTAGGTATAAGGAAAGCACTCGACGCCGACCCAGTCATTTCGGAAAGGGCTCTGAAAGACCAATTTGAGAGGCTGATCCTCCACCCGCTCTCGGAAATACAACAGGCTCCGTCACAAGCTTTGGCGTGCATTGTCGTCATAGACGCATTAGACGAATGTGACCGAGAGGAAGACATCCGAGTGATCCTTCAGCTCCTTGCTCGAACTAAGGATATGAAGCCGGTGTCGTTACGGGTCCTAGTAACGAGCAGGCCGGAGCTCCCCATTCGTCTTGGCTTTAAGCAAATGTCGGACGGAACATACCAAGACCTGGTTCTCCACGATGTCCCAAGGACGACAATCGAACACGACATAAATCTCTTCTTTACGCATGAACTTGAGAAGATTCGAGAGCAGCGCTCGCTGTCCTCAGACTGGCCTGGCAGGGATCAAATCCAGGCCCTGGTCGAGTTGGCTGTCCCATTATTCATCTTCGCTGCTACAGCCTGTCGATATATTGCAGACGGACGAGATAATCCCAAAAGGCGCTTAGAAGTCGTGCTTCAATATCAAGCAGCCACCCATGTTTCCAAGCTTGATAGGACGTACCTCCCCATCCTAACCCAGCTGTTCGATGACGAAGATAATGCAGACAAGCAAAGGCGGACCAGCGAGTTCCGAGACATAGTGGGGAGTATTGTCATTCTCAAGAGCCCTCTCTCTGTTCCCTCACTTGCGCACCTCTTTCAACTCTCCAAAGAGGATGTTAGGTGCAGGTTGGACTCACTACATTCCGTTCTCAGCGTCCCTGCCGATGAGGACGTGCCCGTAAGGCTCCTCCACCTGTCTTTTCGTGACTTCCTTGTCGATGCTCAGAAGCGGGGGAAGAGCTTGTTCTGGGTGGATGAGAGAGAAACACACGAAAGGCTAGCCAGCAAGTGCCTTCAACTGATGTCTAGTCCGATGGGGCTAAGGCAAAATATGTGCAATCTTCCGATGGCTGGAACCTCGAGGAGCGAGATAGATAAGCGGACAATAGCCGGCTGTCTATCACCTGAGTTACAGTATGTTTGCCGTCATTGGGTGCACCATCTAGAGCAGAGCAAACGCAGCATCCATGATAGGGATTCAGTCCATCTTTTTCTCCAGAAGTATTTCCTGTATTGGCTGGAAGCAATGGGTCTTATTGGAGAAGCATACAAATGCATCTCTATGATCAATAGGCTACAGGCGCTTGCAGATGTAAGATTATTTTACACACTTTATCATATCTCTGTACTTACTGTGTTCGCAGTCCAATAGGAGTACTGTCTTAAGCTTTCTTCATGATGCAAAGCGGTTTACGTTGCGGTTCCGATTTATATTAGAAGATGCACCTCTACAGGTCTATTCTTCAGCCCTTATTTTTGCTCCAGAGATGAGTATAATGCGGAAGACATTCACTAACTATATTCCGGGTTGGGTTAGCAGACTATCAAAGGTGGAAGATGATTGGGATGCTTGCCGCAGCACGCTTGAGGGCCATTTGGCCTATGTCAGCGCCGTAGCCTTCTCGCCGGACGGGCAGCTAGTCGCGTCAGCATCTTACGACAACACCGTACGGCTGTGGGACGCAGCGACGGGGTCGTGCCGCAGCACGCTTGAGGGCCATTCCGACAGTGTCAGAGCTGTAGC